GCTCAAGTTGAGAATGATATGTGCAAATGGTGCAAGAAGCATGGACACTACCAGAGGGATTGTCCAGACTTCCTGAAGAACCTGCTGAAGAGAGGTGATGATTTCATTACATTCATAGATGAATCTCTGTATTTAAGTTATGCAAAATCTATTTGGTGGATTGATTCAAGTGCAACTGTTCATGTTGCAAATTCATTACAAGGATTTCGTACGAGGAGGACCCTGCAAAGAGGAGAAAGAAGAATTAAAGTAGCAAATGGAGTTGAAGCCATTGGAGATCTTTCTCTAGAATTAGTTGATGGTTTTCTACTTAAGCTTTCAGATGTTCTATTTGTACCCTCTTTGCGAAGAAACTTAATAAGTGTGTTACATTTAGACGATGATGGATATGATTGCCATTTTGGTAATGGCAAATGTCAGATTGTTTATAATAATAAATATATTGGTCTTGCCTTCTAACAAGACAAGCTTTATTTATTATCACTTTCTGAGAATGTGAATGATGTAAGTACTGAGAATGAGAATGTCGTCTATGAATGCAACAAATAAGCGGAAGAGAGTGCATGATGTATCTTCGAAATTATGGCACTGTTGTTTAGGCCAATTTTAAGGGGGAGAATAGAGCGACTGATTAACTAATCAATTCTTCCGCCTTTAGAATTTTTAGATTTAGAACAATGCATAGATTGCATAAAAGAAAAGTATGTTAAGAAAATAAAGAAAGATGCCAAACGAAGCGTAGGAATTTTAGAAATAATCCACACAGACATCTATGGTCCTTTTCCTATGAAGAGTGTAGATGGTTATGATTCATTTATAATATTCACAGATGACTACATTTTGGCTATATTTATCCAATTAAGGAAAGATTAGAAGCATTGGATAAATTTAAGATATTTAAGGATGAAGTAGAAAATCAGGACAACTTAAAGATTAATGTAGTAAGGTCCGACCGTGGGGAAGAGTACTACGGTCGACACACCCCATATAGCCAAGTTCCTAGACCCTTTGCAAGGTACTTACAAGAAAATGGCATAGTAGCCTAGTATTCTACACCGGGCGAGCCTCAGCGGAATAGAGTAGCTGAAAGACATAACCATACCTTAATAGATATGGTGAGAAGTATAATAAGTTACTCTACCTTACCGATAAGTTTATGGATGGAGGCGTTAAAAATCGCCATTCATATTTTTAATCGAGTGCCAAATAAGTCGGTGCCTAAGACACCGTATGAGTTGTGGATAGGAAAGGAACCCTCACTAAACTATTTATGTGTGTGGGGTTGTCCTGCTGAGGCAAAAGTATTTAACCCAAACATAGGAAAGCTAGACTCCAAGACAGTCAGCTGCCATTTCACTGGCCATCTAGAAAAGTCAAAGGGTTATCGCTTCTGTTGTCCTGACAAACAAACGAAGTTTGTATAAACAAGACATGCTGTCTTCTTGGAGGATGATATGATCAGGGGGAGCATGGTAGCACGAGAAATTAGTTTTGAAGAGAAGCGGGTATACGTGCCCACTCCTATGGTTCAGGATCCATTTTTCACGCTACCTATTGTTATTGTACCAATAGTGCAAGACACTGTAATAGCAACACCTGTTGTTAGTTCTCCTGTGGCAACAATGAATGAGCATGGGAAACCTATCCTTCAAGATCCCCAAGAACCCGTTGTCACACATGAGGAAGAGCAATAACAACCTCAAATAGAACAAGTGTCATCTAGCGAGGCCCCTAGAAGGTCTCAAAGAGTCAGGAGATCAGCCATTCCTGATGATTATGAAGTTTATGAATGTGAGAAATTTCAAATGGCGGGTGATCCCACCTCATTTGAATAAGCCATGAGATGCGCTCACTCATCCAAGTGGCTTGAAGCCATGGAAGATGGAACGAAATCAATGAAAACCAACGGAGTTTGGAACTTAGAAACAATTCCTAAAGGAGCCAAGACAGTAGGCTGTAAATGAGTCTACAAAACTAAACATGACTCCAAAGGGAATATAGAAAGGTTTAAAGCGCGACTTGTGGCGAAAGGTTTCACGCAAACAGAAGGCATAGATTACAATGAGACATTTTCTTCAGTCTCATGTAAGGATTCTTTTAGAATCATAATGTCGCTTGTAGCACATTACGACTTAGAATTACATTAGATGGATGTAAAGACGGCGTTCCTAAATGGGGATTTGGAGGAAAACGTTTACATGGCACAATCGAAAGGTTTTGTTGTGGAAGGAAAAGAACGCATGAGATGCCGCCTAAATAAATCTATTTATGGATTAAAGCAAGCTTCAAGACAGTGGTATTTGAAGTTTGATAGTATAATAAGAAAGTTTGGGTTTTAAGAAAATGTAGAGGACAATTGCGTTTACGCAAAGTTCAAGAATGGGAAATATATTTTCCTAGTCTTGTATGTGGATGACATCTTGCTCGCTAGCAGTGATGTTAGTCTAGTGATGTTAGTCTACTACTAGAAACAAAGAAGTTCTTTCCCTAAAGTTTAATATGAAGGATCTCGGTGAAGCTTCGTTCGTCCTAAGAATAGAGATTCACCGAGATAGAGAAAAGGGGGTTTTAGGACTATCACAAAAGACATACTTAAAAAAAGTTCTAAAGAAATATAGTATGTAAAATTGTAAGTCATCACCTGCTCCCATAGTCAAGGGTGATAGATATAAAGAATTTCAATGTCCCCGGTACCAATATGAAATTGATCAAATAAAAACGGTCCTATATAGTTCAGCTGTCGGAAGTTTACAGTATGCTCAAATGTGTACTCGCCCTGACTTAGCATTTGTTACCGGGTTGCTTGGCAGATATCAGAGTAATTTAGAAATAGAACACTGAAAATTAGTAAAGAAAGTTTTGTGTTACCTGCAAGGTACGAAGGGTCTCATGCTTATGTACAGAAGATCTGATTCCCTACACATAGAGGGTTACACAGATTCTGATTATGCGGAAGATGAAAGAAAGTCCACGTCAGGGTACATATTCACTCTCGCAGGAGGAGTTATATCATGGAAAAGCTTAAAGCAAACCGTCACTACATCGTCCACAATGTATGCCGAGTTTGTAGCATGTTATGAGGCCACAGGGCAGGTGAATTGGCTAAAGAAATTCATGTCCGGGTTGAAAGTGGTAGACGACATATATAAACCACCTAAGTTATACTGCGATAATAATCTAGCAGTATGTTATGCTCACAATAATAACTCAAGAGGTGCTGTCAAACATATTGACACAAAGTATTATGTTGTGAAAGATAAAGTCCGAGATCATCTAATTAATCTTGAGCATATAAGAACAGAAAAGATACTCACGGATCCGCTTACAAAAGACTTACCACCCAGTATGTTCAGAGAACACGTAGCCGGTATGGGTTTAAGGGAAAGCCTATGATTCTTAGACAATAAGGGCTTAGTTAAGAATCTGTTTCAAAACAGAGAGGTGCATTGTACCTGTTTAATCTAATGGCAAGAGACTGTGACGATGAGGCACGCTCTATGCACTGATCTGTAATGGAATGAGAACAAGAGAAAGTAAGTTAAGTTTAAGTTATAAGTGAGATCAAGGGAAAAAATGTTAGTTGATCTCCACCAATAGGCTCGGGCCCTTGGATCTGCGCCCTTATCTGGGGCGCCCAACCCTAATATGATTGGTGGGCCTCCGTCGCACAGTGCCATAAATAGGAGGTGGGGGTCGGGACGCCGAGCACGAGGTTCGCTTGAGCCGACTAGCACCCCACCTACAGTCCTAAACCATAACTGATCATAGAGGGGGCGCTGCCAGCGACGGGAAGCGCCGCCACCGCCTCTGCATCATGCCGGAGGACTGCTACGACGCCGAGCTGCCCTGCAACTTCTACACCGATCCCGGACGACACCGCTACTGCACCATCACCGGGTTATCGCCAAGCACTACGATGACGAGCCCATCTTCCTTCAAGATGGCCGATGGTTTGCACCCCTTCACCCCTCTCACTCTCACTCTATCTCTTATCATGTACTAGTAGATATCCTAGGACTCATGATTTATTAAAAGTGCAAGTAGACATGCTAAATTTACGCCTAGAGATCCTGTTTTAGTCTAACAACTTCATGGTCGGCCACATCCTTGCAACAAATCAGAAGGGGCGTACATGGATTAGATCAAGAAGAATCGATGACCTAAAGAGCTCGTGGTTGCTACGGAGAAACTCGAATCCATGCGGAGAAGAAATCGAGTTACCTTCGCTCCCATCCATGGAGCAGGTCGACGCCTTCTGGTACGCCGGCGGCCCCATCGCGCCATCAATGGAGCAGGTCCTCGCCTTCTGGTCTGCTGGCGGCCCCATCGCACCGTCCGATGTCTCCATGGTCCTTTCGTCTCAGGCTCCTAGTGCCCAGGTCCTTTGCCGATTGATTTCACCCCGTGCTCTCTCTCCACTAGGTACCTGTACATGTCAGATTCAATCTACCCCGTCCAAATAGGCAACCGGGCAAACAAGCAACCCCACCATAGCTTCCAACCTCTCGCAAATGCCGCGAGCTGGTGAAGAATTGAAGACAGGCGTGCCGCAGAGCTGGCCACGGCCGTGCACCAACGCCAGCGCGGAGGCAGCAGGCTTGGAAACGTGGGTTCCATCAGATACTCGGATCAAATTATTTAGAGCCTATTTAGATGGGCTAGGGTCAGTTACACTAAAAATTAGCTTAAATTAGTCGAGGTTGGTTAGCCAGTTGACTAACAACTAGTGAAGATTAGAACTAAAAATTAGCCCACTTATTTAGATACACTAGAGCTAATTTATGCTAATTTTTAGCTAGCTAGTGATTATCCCTTGCATACAAACGTGCCCATAACATAAACTTAGGCTCATCATGCAGATCACTCTAGAAACAGATATTTGGATCAAATTAGTTGACATGAAATTTTGGTGCCAATGGCTGACCTGCTGTCCTATGCTCGGTATGAGATAGTGCTCCAGTTTTATGAAATCCTAGGAGTGCACAGCTGTTGGTAACTAGCTAACATCTGCCCAATTTTCAATCAGAAAAGAGATGATATGAGACTGAGGGAAAGTGACCAAGATTCTGGAACGGGGGTGGTGGGCTGTCTCTTGACCTCATAAATGGAGCTTCGCAATTGTTTACACATGCTGCTGTTTTCTCAGCTTATGGTATGTGTTCTTTATTTATGCAAACTGCATCTCTATGAAGAGGGAAATACTGGCTGAACAGTAACAAGCCTATATGATAAAACTTCAGAAACCGCTATAGTATCTAAAAGGAAAGCTAGCTGTTCGTGATGGAGTAGAGGAGATCCGAGTGAGGATTAAACACAAGAAGAAACTGAGACAGGAAATAAAACGCGAGAAGTGTCCAATATATATACCTGCAGTGCATAGTATCGCACCCCATGATCTTCTCGACCACAATCTTACAACTGGGGCACTGCTTCCAGCGGTGCTGGGCGGCAAGCTCCTTGACGAGCGCTGCCCCTTTCCCCTCGTCACAGTCGTGGTGGTCATCATCACGGCCATCGATGACCCAGCCCAAGCCACACGTCGTGCACATGGGGTGGTTGCACGCCGGGCACGACGCCTTGCACGGTGCCTGCTTATTGGCGCCGAAGGTCCTCTCAAGCATGAGCCCGCACCTGGGGTTCGGGCAGTAGACGCGCTGGTCCTGCGGGATGGCCTTCTCGGTGAGCCGGTCACCCCAGCTGCAGAAGGCGGCGAAGTCGATGGACTTCTTGCAGTGCTCCGGGTTCAGGACGCCGCCGTTGTTGCCCTCTCCGGCAGCTTCCTTGCACGCCGGGTCGGGGCACAGGATGGACACGCCGCCGTCGCGGATCCTGCCCTCGATGTATGTGGCCATGCACTGCGCGCAGAACTTGTGGTCGCACTGCATGCCGTGGAAGAGGTCCAGGATGGGGAGCGTCTCCAGGCAGATGCTGCAGTCGAACTTGGCGACCTCGTCGTCCGCGAGAGGGGCACCCTGCTCTGCCTCTTCGTCGACGGGCCAGGTTTGTCTGGGTCCAGCTCGGACGGGTGGAGGCCCCATATCTTGCAGTAGTCTTCCAGGGTCAGCTCGCGTCCGTCTTCGCCGGCAGAGGGACGCTTCTGGCCGCAGTGTTCCTCCTTTGGTGGTGCCTCGGACCTGCCGGGAAGTCGCAGCGGGGAAGACATCTCCTGGATTTCTGGCTCCTCCATCTGCTCCAGCCTTTGAGCGTCACGGGCGATGGACTTGCACCACTCATTGCCGTCCTCTTCCTCCGTACTACCGGCGAAGATAGTTGACTTGACAGGAGTACTCGGCCTCGCTGTCGCTGATGCTCCGGTCCTTGTCTGGCAGCAAGCTGGTTGTTGGCGTTGACATGGGCGCCAACGTTGAAAATGTTGGTGTTGGCATGAATGGTGCGGAGGACGGGAGGAGTGCCGCCGTTTCGGGTGCGACTGTGGCCATGAGGAAGTCTAGCCAAGGATTGACGACCTGTGCCACATCCACATCCAGGGGAGCATCCAAATCCTCCTGCTGAACCCAGTAGTCATCCTCGTCTACATCGTCCCAGAAGATCATTGCGTTGTTCTGTGTGCCTGTCTCCACTGTATCCGCCGAGGTAGAAGCAGCATCGCGGACGGCGGCTTCTTGCTTGGATCCATCCACGAACTTCGGTGTGCGGAGTCCGCCGACGACCGCCTCCACTACATCCGGGGCCATAGCATCACGAATGATGGCTTCCTCCTTTGACTGGTGGTCCATGGGGGGATTGGAGTTTTCTTTCTCCATCGCAAACTGCATAATAATGACACAGAAAATGGGAATGTAAGATTCACTTGACAGCCTACCAGTGTGCAACACAGACATTCCAAATAGCGCAACTTAGACATATCAAATGTGATTGTCAATCTGAGAAGTTACAAATGTGATTGTCAATCTGAGAAGTTACAAATGTGATTGTCAATCTGAGAAGTTAACACTAAGAGCATCTCCAAGAGTTACCTAAATATTCCTCCTAAAAAGTCTATGTTTACCCACTCCTAAAATGATTTTAGAGAAAAAAAGAAGTTCATCTTCAATAGTTCATAATATTTGACTTTAAAAAAAATCAAATGCTAGTCCCATTTGACGTTTTTTTTTTCTGCAGTCCTCTTTTTTTGCACGCATCCTGCTTGAGGCTACCTGCTTGACGACCGCATCCACATCCTACTTGAGGCCACCTGCTTGACGACGGCCACAGTAGGAAGAGAGCATCCCCACGTGAAATCACCAGCCACCTGCGTGGTTATAGAAGAAGAGAGCACGCTGAGTTAACGTGGGATCAAGGAGGTTGCAGTTCGGATGGACCTTGACAAGGCGGAGGCAGACATTATCGTTGGCGAACTACTCTGGACGCAGAGGCCGCACATGCGCGTGGCAATCTGCTCGTCCTGCTCCATCTGCTTGCGCACGCGCTGGATCTACTTGGACACCACTCGGAACCGTGGCCGGCTTCGGCTCCATGCCTCCGTGGCGGCGATCTGTCTGGATCATCGGTCGGCGGCCGGGGGACACCACTCGGAACTGCGAGAGATGGGCGCTGGCTCCATGCCTCCTGAGTCGGCCGTGCAATGGCTTGCAACCTGCGTGTCTCGGAGAAGATTGCGGGGGAAAAGGTCCGGGAAATCTTCGGTGTGAAGGAGGAAGGCAGCAGCGGGGGGATACAGCAGACGGGGAGAGCGCGGATCTTTGCGCGCGTTGGCCCATTTTTTCCCGAGTCATAAAAGATTAGGAGTAAATATTAAGAGTTGTCGGAGAGATTTTTTTCTATCTTTCTAAAAAACAAGAATTAGGAGGATGTTTAGGGAACTCTTGGAGATGCTTTAAAAACAACAAAAAAAGACAATACAACATATATCACTACAGAAGAGATCGTGCTTTGCGAAAGTGCAATTGCACTCGGCCCTCCAGTCTTTGCCGAGTGCTGCACTTTTCGAGTCGCATATCCCCACGGCAAAGGCTTCTTTTTTGAGTGCCGCATGTTCGCACTCGACAAGGTTCCAAGTGCACGACTGGAGAAGAAAGAAAAAAGCCGGGAAAACGGTGGTCGAGTGCCACGCTAGCGGGAAAGAAATGTGTTTTTATTTTTCTTCCCTGCTGCTGCCGAGTGCCGCATATGGCTTTCGGCAAAGCTTGTTTTCTTTTGTTTTAGATTTTCTTTGCGAGTGTTGTAGGAGGCACTCGGCAAAGCAATTTTCTTTGTGAGTGCCTTGCCCATGGAGCAAAGCGGGAAGCTTCGGTGTCCTAGATTTGCGGCTTGCCGAGTGTCATGGTCATGACACTCGGCAAAGAAGTGAAAAAATTCAAATTTTTTTTATACATCATATATATATATAACACAACTATATATCACACAAATGTATATCACAATCCACCACAAACACAAACATAGCATACAAGTATCACAAGATTAAGAGTAAAGTTTACAAAGTTCACAAGGCATTATATCACAGCGGCTGCCATTTGAGAGATGCAGGTTTTTCGATCTTTCTAAAAAACAAGAGATTAGGAGGATAAGAGAAGATATAGGGAACCACCACTTGGAGATGCTTCACCACCAACACTTCACCACCAACCACAAGACGTGACCACCACCACCAACACCACACCACCACCACCACCATGACCACCACACCACCACCACCACCACTACTCTCTAGGTTTCACTAGGTTTCTCTAAGTTTCAAACATAGAAAGTAAAACTTCGTACTTATACTCGGGGTAGAATTAGGACATTATGGAGGTGGATCTGGAGCAGCGGCGTCGTGGGATCGCCAACCTTGTTGTTGGCCAATTTTTGCATGAACTTGATCATCTCGGCCATCTGCCGCTTATCTTGCTCATTGGGCCTCCAAAGCCTGTAGCCTTTGCCGCTCGACCTCTCGCTCGGCACTGCAGTTCCTGCAAGTGACATTTGACCCCAATGTTTCAATAACGCATAGGTAAGGTATGTAAAAGTCAAAGAATAAACAGGCGCTTACGGAGTATTACTTGTTGGGCACGCTTGAGCTCATGCTTGATTTTCAACATATCAAATGAAGAACCACATATGCGGGTGTGGATCTTTGGAGTTGGTGTATGCGCCTCAACCAGGGCATCTAGGTCGTACGGTGTATCGTCGCCGTCGCCCTGGCCATTGTGTGCATCCGACTATGAGAAAGACAACAACATGTGGTTAGAAATGATGCGAATTGAGCTGCTAGATTAGAGCAATGGCGGAGACTTACATATGCCTTTGCATATTTTGAGGGATGGGTGCCACGATGGTGAGGTACACGGCATCTCGCAAACGCCTATCGGGGGCCTCCTTTGTCCAACTAGGTGTCCACAATATATTCCCAAAGCAATCGGGGTGGGTGGGCTTTGACTTGTCACCTATAGGACATCAAGTAGACGACATATCGAGAAGATCAAATTAGGCATACTTAATCTCAAAAGAAATGAATATTCATGTTTTGGATTTACTTGTATGTCTTGCCCCTTGTCGGCGTCATCCGTCTTGCCTCCTCTTTGCCTTTGAGTAGGAACTTGGCGTTGTAGTCTATGTGGGCTTGGATGCGGGACTCGTGAGTGCAAGTCCATGTCTTTTTATGGAGCGTAAACCCGATACACTTTCCTCCTCGCCCCTCACCGTGTTCTAAAGAAGTCCCTGCATAAAGACACGAGGTATCCATTATTTTATTTCAAGAATGTCCAATCAATGTGAGGAATTGAGGAATGTAGTGTAAGAAAGACTTACCCACAACTCCCTAATCACCCGATGCGCCTTGTTTCTACAAATGGATGCCATTATGATCTAGAGCGCACGAGGGCAGTGGTGAACGTCTGCCGGCTCCCAATCCACGATCTCCTTTCCTAACCAGCCGGGGAAGTGTTCCTTGCGAAGTCCTAGGATGCCATTCACATTACGTCTTTCGCTTGGTCCACAAGCACCCAGTTCTCGCACAAGTGGTCCACAATAGTTATTACTTGTTATTATGATTTTTCAACATATCAAATGAAGAACATATGAAGTTACTTACTTATCACCCTCGGGTGCAATCAGTGGGCGCCTCTCAACAGGTATCGGTCGCTTCGGGAGCTTTGTGGGACCTCGCTGGTAGGGCTTCGACATACCAGAGGAAGTGGAACCCCCTACCGTCGCCGCCTCCTCGTCCTCCGTCCGTGGACCCCCGTCCCCGTCCACCGTGTTCTAAAGATCGTCGTCGTGCACAGGGTCTCGTGAGGACCTACGCCCATGGTCTCTCTGACGCCTCCGCCTCCTCAGCCATTGCCATGTCCCTTCGGTTGGCATAAACCGAGGGGCAGCTCCTCCTAGTGGGCCCCATCACCTACAATTAAAAAGAGTAAACCAATAAGTACAGATAAACAAGACGTACTTAGTAAGAGATGCAAAATAAAGAAAATGTAATTACAAAATAACATAGTATTACATGTATTTCTAATATTCTTCATGATCGGGATTATCTGGACGATAGGTATCGTCATCACTATCAAGATTGTCCAAATCCTCAACAGCCTCATCCTCATCGTTATCATTGCCTAGTCGTAGTCCGTCAAGCATTTCCAAGTCCTTTAGATCATGCACCTCAGTTGCAGCGTCCTCATCAACAACCCATTCCTCGTCTGCTTCCATTTCAATCTCTCCGGTTAAGTCTATCTCAAGCATCCCTGATAGCCCCTCTTCTTGTTGATAGAACTCTCCGTCATGCGTGTTTGGGTTCAAGTTGTAATCATCAGGGTTTGGGTGAGGTAATCTACCATGTGGTGATACCTTGTGCACAATATACCAACCCTGAAGACGTGGGTCGGTTTTGCAAGCATATGGACAATAATAAACTTGTGTGGCTTGTTGAGCCACAATATAGACATCTTCTCCTGGATAGAAGAAATCATGTCGAGTTTCGACTATCCCAAGTTGATGGGACTTTCTCGATACTGTAGGATCAAACCACTGGCATTTGAATATGACAGGATTAAGTGCTTTGGAACCACGGTAGTTGAGCTCGTATATTTCTTCAACTGTCCCATAATACTCCTCCTGATCAGTGCCCAGCGTAAATACTCCGGTATTCATGGTCCTTGGATTGGGATGACTTTGCTCGTACCTTGTTGTGTAGAAGCGATATCCATTCATGTCATAAGTGTTAAATGACAAGACCTTATAGTCAAAGCCATTGGCCACCTGTCGTAATTCAGCACTTATAGACACATCCCTTTGGCACTGCAAGTTCAAGCAGGAGAGAAATGAAATCAGGCAACTTGGAACGTCAAACTTAGTAAGAGCTAAGTTGGCCGGTACCTTTTTTTTGGAACCATGTAATGAAATCAGGCGAACCATGTTGAAGAAGGGTCTCTCGTTCATGGTCATAAGGTGGCCTTGAATGATGCCAGGATTCATCAAAAATTCTCTGCACCGATAAGGAACAATGTTGTTGGATGTACAAAAGTTACGGAGTATATAACAAGTTCGTTGAGAACTTACCCCAAATATGTTTCCACTTCATCAAGGTTGGTCAACACGTAGAGCATGATCTTGCGCCACTCTTCATAGCTCAAGGTCTTTGTGGTCGCTCCACTTGCTCTCCCACGTGGCCCTTTGAAAAGGCTAAGGGTCGATTCATTTTCATCCTCGTTGTACCGAGCGGGTGGATTATGCACGCTAGGAAGGTTCTCATTATAGTATGTTGTTGTGAAGTTTGACACCTCATGAATGAATGCCA